TTCATACATGAACAAGTCCTTGGGTATATATAGTGGAGGACAGACATAGTTCTTGAACTCATGGAGCTTACAGACTGCTGGGAAGACAGATATTAAAAATACATACAAAAATACATAATCGTAAATTGAAAGGAAGGAAATAAGAGTGGATCTGAGTATGATTAGGGCAGATCCCCTAATAGCTGAGCTAATCATTTCATGTTAGGTTTTTCATCTGAAAGATCTCAAAAATGTTGTCTATATGATAGCTATTGTACTAAATACAAAAGCCCCTGGTAAAAGAAAACCTTGGTGCATGTTAGTCTCCTTCCTCCCTTTTCACCATAGTATCTGATCATTTAGATGAGTATTTGGCCTTTTTCACAGTCTGAAGATGATGATGAGGAGGAGGAAGAGGAAGAGGGGGAGGAGGATAATAACAGGGAAAAGTTTCTTAACCTCAAATGACCTCATTCTTTGAGATGCCAGATGCTGAAGAATATTAAAATTATGTTTAAGACAGTGTTACATTCAAATTAAGATGTATTTTCTGCTAGATTACATTTTTAAAAGACAGTCATCACATATTATATACACTTAGATATCAAATGACTGCATTTACATTTGAACCAAAATAAAAGATGAAAGTGGTTAATGAAGTTCTAATTCATTGCCTTGAATGTTTTAGCCTACTACATCCAAATTATTTTTTTTTAAATAACTACCACTAGAAAGGCTAATGCAGTGCAGATGACTCCCCAAATATTTGCAATAGGTCACGTGAACACTGCTGCAGCATCTCAACAATTGACTATAATAGATTTAAGGGGGAATGATAGGCTGCCTTGACATTTAAATAGATAATGTTTTCTATTAAATCTTTTTTAAAAAACCTTGATTAACACCAGAAATATTTCTCACTTTACCAAAAGAAACCCTCATTAAAGAAATTTTCACTGAGTTACATACAATATGCTCATCTGTGCACCATGAACTTGTTTTTACTCTATATTCAAAGCTGTATGTTTATTTCTCTGTTCTAGTTCAGTTCTAAAAGCCAAAAATATGAAACAGATGTGGTGACTTTCCTTGTACTGTGAAGCACAATTATGCTTCTTTGAATTGCTTAGGCTAAACAGTTGCCCTCCCTAGAGCATATCAAAACTGTTTGAGATTCTTTAAAGTCAAGAAGCCAGCTTACTACCTGTCAGGAACTGGAATTGGCAGGCCACAGCTGGTTGATTGCAGTGGATGCTCCCTTACGGTCCAACCAAAGTCTGTAAAACAAAAAATATATGGGGGAAACTTCAGCTAAATGGGTATGCTATCTTATCCTTGAGAAGAAATCAAGATGTTTGAGAATACATTTCAGGGTCCACTCTATGTGAGCCATTTAATAGCACGCAAAGAACAGTTCAGTCTTTCCTGCTTCTGAGTTCAAAGACAGTGTGGACAACAGACAAGAGCACATAGAGGAAAATCTTCCAATTTACTTGCAAAAGCCATGATGCCTTTAAACCTGTGTCTACCAGATTAGCCTGTGTATCAAAAATGCAAATGTTGATTTTTCTTTTGCTGAGAATAGTTTAAAAACATGTGGAAATTGCTATAACTGAAGGAAAAGCTTGAAACAAATGGTAATTTTGTTCTCAAAAAGGAAACTTTCTTTAGGCTGTGGGAGGTGAGGAAAGAAGTTTCCTTTTCTTCTAAATTGAGTGAATGCTGAAAATAATGGCATTCATAGAATCCTGCATTAGTCTTGTCAGTTTACAACTTCAAAAAGGTTTTAAAACAAAAATTAGCAAGGGACATGTTTATATAGGAACATTTACAGAGTGCCACATTCATGGAGGTCATATTTTGATACAAATAAGTCGACATGCAGTCTCATAAAATGCATGTTTTTCATCAAAGGGAACCATGCATCACTAATCATTCATTCAGCATTCATTTATATAATGGAGACCTGGTTATTATGCTAGATGCTGAGATATTGAAATGAAAAGACTAGATATATGCTGCAAGATGTTCATATGGAAAGTGGAAACGATATTTAAAATACATGTAACAAACAAATACAATATTTTTGCTGCTAATGAGGACTCATTTCCTCCTGTAGTCAAGCTTCTGGTTCTTAAAATAATAGCAGTGAATATATGGAAGGCAGAGACATTTGGCCTGCATAATATTAGATTTTATTATCATCCAGGAGTCAGGTCTCATTTCAGATCAATTCTCAAATCACAATGACTTCTCTAGTCTCCTCTTACCAATTTCACCATTCTCTCAGTACACCACTCACGCAAAGCCAAGAGAATGAGAGGGAACATAATCAGGAATGCTTTCAACCTTTGCTCTTTATCCTGAGAGATGTCGGATGCTCTCTAGTCATTTTAAGTTTTATTGACACAGGATCATTTTCTTCCATTTAGAAACACTGAGGGGAAAAAATACTGCTGTTTTTTCCCTCAACTTTTTTGCTATGATCCAATACTGTGCAGGCTATGAACACTTTATCCAAGACCCATCCTCCATTCTTGATGCTTTCTACTGTCCTGGGTCATTAAAGAGAGGTCACTTATTTATGTGGATTGAATCAAACAGGATCAAGTATCCTTGTAGCATAGGAAACAATAAAGCACAATGCTTTATTCTTGTATCATGTAGGTGAGTGGCTGAATCCCATGGCCAATCACCTACATGAATGAGGACAGCTGTCATAATTCCTGGGAACAGATTTTATATGGTTGTAACTTAAGCAGAGAATGGATTCATTTGAGTATTGGCTCTGCTGACTCAGCTCTCAGCTTTGGAGGGGCCTTGTACTTCAGGGTAGAGCCCAGAAAGACCTATTCTAAAGCCTACTTCCATTTCACATAGAATTTTTTTTTGTCTCATGCCTAAACCAAAGCCCTGAACTTAGATACGGGTAATTTAATATATTTGTCCTATGGTTCCATAACAAGGAATAAAGCAGAATATTCTATGAATATTCCTTAGAATACATGTAAATGAATCATGAAGGGGTTGATAGACACAAATCGATGAGTATAAAACTATATTTGTTTAAAGTGAGTTCTGTCAGAGTTCTAGACTTGGAATATGATTATTACACAAAGTTTTCTACTTCTACCAGTTGTAAGGTAAAAACAATGTCTCCTTAATCAAAACTACTTAAGAGTCAGCAAAGAAAGGGTAGAGAAAATTTTGTTTTGTTTTTTCAGAGAAAGAGATTTATTTGTCAGGCCAGCCAAACAAGGAGACCAGAGCTAAGTCTCAGATTAATCTCCTGGAACAAAGGCTTGGGATCAGTTTTAAGAGGTGAGGGTAAGGAGAGGTTATACATATTTATTAATTCTCATTCAGGGAGTCTGATTGTGTGTAGTCTTAGAACTAAGCCACCTAAGGTTAGGGATGTGGAAGGGGTGAGAGAGAACAAAGAAATTCCAATCTGGTAGAGTTTGATCAGTCCTATATATGTCCAAATTTGGTTCCTACACCAAATCTTCCTTATTGAAGGACTTCTTGCTTTTCAATGAGCTCCGAAAAGTGAAAGTAGCATCTCTGCTACTTGAGTTCCATGAATTTTGGTTCCACTGTGCTCTCATGGTCAGTTTACGGTTATTTAGCTGCTAACTGTGCCTACTCAGGCCTCTAGGACCAGTCTGATGTGGCTTGGTCTGATAGTCTCTGGAATGCTGTGAGGAGGCCTGTTGTTATCTCCTGAAAGACACTTAAAATAGTGTTCTATGACACTATTAAAATAGTGGCCCTGTGACATTGTAGAAGATTCCCCAGGCTTCCCCAGTTCTTAGTCTACCATATTAATATTATATTTCAACAGATATGAATACTCTAACTGCTGTGATAATACAGTGTGTGAAAAGTATACCAAGATCAAAGAGGAAAAGATGACTTAGAGCAGTCAATAAAGGTTTTATCTAAGGCTACATTTAAACTGAGATTTGAGTCTGCCAGGGACAAAAACAGACAGAGAGAGCACTGCAGATTGAAGCAACAGCCTGTGCAAAAGCCCAGCAGTCTGAAACCACATGAGAGTCTGGGACATAGTAGGATTGATTAAGTAAATGCAAGTGGGAAGGCATGTCAACATGTATGGGTGCTGGAACTTATCTTTCAAACCATGGAGTGTCATTTCATAATTTTAAGCAGTGGTGTAATGTGATCAGATAGTAAGCAGAGGTCAGAAGCACCATTTTCATACACAAGCACCACCACAAATACTGCACTATGTGTATAAATATAAAATCCTGTATGTGCATAATTTGCATCACAAGCTGTTAAGTACATTTCTCTCAGAGAAGTTTGGAAACAGTAACTCATCAATTAAACAGACAAGGTAGAGAGACCATGGAAATATGCTGAATAGTTTCCACAAAAATCTCCAATTACAATGAACTTTAATTATTCAAAAATAAAATGTTATTTAAATTGCATGGACTTGAACTGTAGTACATTCAATGTCACTACTACATAAGCTATAAGAATAGTGTTTTTAAAACAGAAAAGGAAAAAAGTCTTTCAAATTGTAAAAATGATAATTATTTAACATAATGTTTCCCACCCCCATAATAGTTTCTCCTAAAGTGTGTGGAATAATTTATATATAAATATGTAGATGTATACAAACTGAAATGCCAAACATTGAAAAGAAACTCAAATGAGTGAGTATTTACATATGGAATAGAGCTCATAAGAAACCATGTTTTTGTGATAATGAGATGTTTTCCAAGCTTTCCTTCATTCTGGGAATTTACTCAGAGACAAGCCCATATATTCATAAAACAACAAAGAAATTCAAAAGGCATCCCTAGAAATCCAAAATGACAAGATCTGACTTAATAGGTATTATGCCATCTCAAGTTCAGTGACCAGTCAAAGACTGGAATGAAGATTCCCAGGACACAGATGCAGAAAATCCTTCAGCTCTTTCTTTAACTGATTTAAGGTCATACACTACACCAAGCCCAGTTTAAATGGATTTAATCAAGTTTCCACTGTTTAGGTACATTCTGAAGGGACCGTTACTATGTATGTATAATCACAGAAAATGGAGAAAACTGTTTTTCTCCATAATGTTTAAGAAATAGGTGCTTATGATCCATAGAGTCCATGTAGAAAACAAAGTAATTAATTTGTCTTCAAATTCGTTGGAGAACTATTGTGTTTAAAAAATTCAGCAAGATGTAATTGACTGTCTTATTAGCAAGGTAGTATCTTCTCAGAGGGACTTCATATTATCTAAGGAAAACAAGAAAAAAAATGGCTTTAAATCCTTACATTATTTCCAACAAGAAAAGTAAGCATATCAATTACAAAACTATTAAACTTCTCATCTAAAAGCTATATTCAAATTACTGACTTAATTAGCCAAGCGTCTTTTAATTACAAAGGACAAAAAAAAAACATCAAACCAGCTTAAAACAAAAAAGAAATCTATTACCTCACACAACTAAGTCATATGCTGAATCCATTGCTCCAATAAATTAGAATACTATCTTTGTCTATGTATTTATTTTCCTCTGTCAGCTTCTTCATGCAATGGGTAAGGATGGCCACTAGTAGCTCCAAGAGGACTTTCTATCAATTTAGTAACCCAAATAAAAAGGGAATGTCTTTTCCCCAGTAGTCTCTGACAAAGTCTGAAAACTAACTTGGATTCAGCTTGAATAACATACCTACCTCTGAAGAGTTTGTTCTGTACAAGGGGACATGATAACTGATAGACAAGATTTGAATTACATGGCTCCCTGGAGCCATGCTGAGTGCAGTCCATCTGTGTTACACTGACCAAGAATGAAGAATACATGTTTTTCATTCCATTGATAAAATATCATAATGGATTTCTAAGTTATTTTACACATTCACTTTTAATAACACAACATTTCATAGTTTAAATAAATTGCACTATCTGTAGGGACAGGCACTATATTGTGTTTATGATTTGGCCAATCTTCTAACAGAAATATGGTGACTCTTGTATTGCTGGCAAAATCATCAAGGTGTTTCTTGATTCCCGACCCATTTCACATACTTTCATAGATGAAATCAAGGTGATATCTCATTGTGGTTTCTGACACTGCTGGGGGCAATCTAAGTCCATTGTTGCACCAGTGGTACTGAAGGGACCTTGGTTCTTTCCTCAAAACGATAAATCATTAAAGATCAGTGAAGATTAGGATAAGTAAGATTTATTGAAGTAAGTTTCAATAGAGAAATGGGTAGACCAGAAACAGCTCCCCTTGAGGTGGGGAGGTCTGTCTTATATCTGGGCCGTGATGGGTGGTTACAAGGGTGGTACTTATTGATGTGTGAGATCATTTTGATTTATGATTGGCTATTATATAACCCATTGTCAACTGCTCATGTACCTTCCCAGAATTCAGTATGTTATAATTAAATTCATGAACTTTTAGGCATATGTATAACATTATAATGATGGCATAATGAGGCTGAGGTGAAAAAAGGTCAGAGTACTCCTTACTGCTCAAGCGTTTGTGGCTGGCCTAAACTGGTTGCTATGCTATGGTCATTTATTTCCTTGTACTCTAGGATGTAGGGGTATCGTTATTTAAAAATGAGTTTTTTTCTGGTAGGTCTTAGGGGTGGCCTTTTGGGCTAGGCCATCAGTGTTGTCATTCCTATGGCAACGATGGGCCTTTGCTCCTATTGCTCATGGCTACCTAATGACCTAACAGTTTTGATTTGCATTTCCCTAATAGCTAGTAAAGTTGAGCATCTTTTCATAGGTCTCTTGGCCATTTGTATGTCTTCTTGGGAGAAGTGTCTGTTCAAGTCCCTCCCAATTTTTTAACTGAATTATTTATGTTGTTGAGGCGTATGAGTTCTTTGTATATTTTGGATATTAGCCCCTTATCAAAGGTGTTATTTGCAAATATCTTTTCCATGTAGTTGGCTGCCTCTTTGTATTGTTGATGGTTTCTTTTGCTGTGCAGAAGCTTTTTAGTTTCACTCCAATAATTTTTTTTTCAAAAAACTATTTTTTTCAAAAAACTATGCTATTTGAAGAAAAGGAAAAGAGCCAGGGGTTGGCAAGGATTAAATAGATGAGACCAGGTAGCCTAAAAAAAGTCAATACTAATTATGAACAATCATGAGATCATTGTCTCAAATATAAAAAAAGAAAAAAAACTCTCCTTTTAACACATTCCTATTTCTGGCACATAGAAAGTTTTGGCTAAAGACCACATTAATTGATACTACTCTAAATCATAGGGATTTAGATTTACCAGTGTTACTGGTAGATCCTCAATTGACACAACTGTGGGTCTTCTCAATGATCACATTCTCTAGAAGCTCATAAGATCTGGGAGTGAGTCATAGTTCAACTCTTTAGCACTAAATATTTTTGATTCATATATCAGAAATTAAGTAGGGGAAATGAGTAAAGCAATAGTATTGAAAACTGAGAATTTTATTTAATCCTCTGGCCATCTGATAGCCTTGGGATAGCTGTACAAAAACTACCAATGATGAGTTCATGACAATATAGCATATCCTCGAATAACATCATTTTATTCAACATTGTTTTGTTACAATTTTGACGAAATGCCCTATAAACTTAACTTTTGTTTATATCAATTAGACTGTGGTAAAATTGTTTTTGTTACACATTGCTTTACCGTACATCCAAGAATTTATCAATGATGTTAAGTGAGGGCTTACTGTACCAATTTAAGGTGACTTAGTAATTCTGTAAATATTTACTGAGTATTTATAATGTTTCGGGTATTGTGCCAAATGTTAACATAATACGCATACACACAATTGCCAAATAATATGATCAACGTTATTCACAAATGAAAAATGTGACAGTGGCTGCAAAGGAACATAAGAAAATCGATGCCCACATTTGAACTAGGTATAAGAATGAGTAGACATTTGTCCACTTGGAAAAGGATATTCCTGGCAAAAGAAACAGCATTGATAAAGACATGAAGGGCACAAAATATTTGGTTAATAAATGGAGCTCAGCGTTAATAGAGCAAAACCATGAGATGACAGATGAGTCGTAGATGCTGAGAAGGGTCAGACTGCAAGGAGCAATGTATACCAAACTAATTTTGTTTGAATTTTACAGTTAGTGAGTCATGAGATCTTTTCCTAAAATTGATGAAGTAAGCTGATCTCTTCACATTTAATTTTTGAGTAATCTAACTGTGTAAGTAGGACCAGGATGAATGGAAGGTAGTAGGTGGCAAGTGGAAACATGAGAAATAGTGAGAGAGCCATGGAATAGAAAGAAATTAAAGGATAGAAAAGTCCAGTCTTGAAGGCAGAGTACGTAAATGTTGTGCTTACCTCCTCCCATGACCTCATTAAAATTACAACTAAATTATAGAACAATCAACCTGGAGAACCATCTGAAAACTAGCTGATCATAACTCCTATAACTAAGGATATAAAGAAAAGGCCACAGAGAGACTGGAAGGAGAGGCAGAGACATGAAACAGGCTGGCCCCACATCCATGTGTAGCAGTGGAGCATTGAGAGGGATATCGGCTCAGGAGGTCTCCCTGGAGGAGCGAGGGGTCCCAGCCCCACACTGGACTCCCCAGCGCAAGGTTCTGGTGCCAGGAAGAGGAGTCCTTACAAAATCTGGCTGTAAAAATCAGTGGGGATTCTGACAGTGTAGGTGAGACAAAAGGCAGCTAAAAACCCAGACATCCTCTTAAAGGGCCCATGGACAGACTCACTCACCCATAGGCAATCATGCTGGGCTCCAGGGAAGGTACAGTAGCTGAGGAGGTGCCAGAGACATACAGGAAAAGATTGAGTTGTATGCCTTCAGAATGAGGACTGGAGGGTTTTCCCTTTGTTGAGCCCTCCTCCTATGCAGCCTACAGGTGGGTGCCACCTTGTCTGTGTTGAACCCTCCTCCCAGAGGAACAAGTCTAAATCTACATTGTCCTAGTAAACTTCACTCCCTCCACCCTGGTGACTCACTGGGACCCAAACTCATGAATTGCCAGAGGCAGATTCATGGCTAGGCAACAAGATCTACCCCCGCCCTCTAGGCAGGAGACTCATTCAGCTACAATCAACAGGCCTCCTGCAGTAAGCACCAACCCTGGCCAGAGCTGCAGTGTTTCTTAAATGATTCTCACAGGTCTGCAGGCCTGAGAAGGGCAGCATCTAGCCTCTGTGTGACCTGAGACTTTTGAGAGTGACCACAGCACAGCACTAGCACGAAATCTAAGTCGGCACTAACCTGGGTAACATCACTCACCCCAATCTGGTGACTTTGTGGGACCCTGCCTCATCAAACTCACATACTGCCCGAGGCTCTCTCAGCTGCTGAGCTTTACAGATGGCTTGCAAGCAGCTTTAGGGCCAGGGGTTCCCTAGGCCTTTTTAGCTAAGCTGTCCCAGACCCAGAACTAATGGCAGCCGGCCTTGATTCACAGCCAGGCCTCTCCCATGAGCCAAGTCCAGCACAGGCAAAGGCCAACCACAATCACTTTGTAGCTCCTACTAGGTAGCCCCAGGCAGCTCACAGGCAGTGGCTGACCTTGGCCTCCACAGGAGCCTTTCCCAAAGAGTCAAAGAACCAACACACCTAGAGACTAGTCTGGGACCATAACAGAGCACCACTGATTAACACCACAAGTGGCACACGCAATGAGTGGTTTCAATAAGCACTCTGGCCCATGGAGTTACATCCTACTCCATGGGGCCAATCCCCACACAGAAGTTCATACTCTGTGGATTTGGCCAATCATCACTGCCCATCAGCCTAAGAGTCAATCTCACCCATGGACATACCGAAAGCAATCAAGGCTTAACTACAACTGAAGAGTGTACACAAACCACTCAAGGAACACTACTAGAGCATCTGGTGCAGGTGATCAGGAAGACTGTGCCCCTGGGCTACACAGGACACCTAATAAATAAGGCTACCCAGCCAAGACTGGGAGATAGCAAATCTACCTGATACATAAAAACAAACACAGAGAAGTAGCCAAAATGAGAAAAAAAAGAAACATGTCTCAAATGAAAAAACAGGAGAAAACTCCAGAAAAAGAAATAAATGAAATGAAGGCAAAGCAACCTACCAGACACTAGTTATAAGGATGCTCAATGAACTCAGAGGAAGAGTAGATTATCTCACTGAGAACTTCAACAAAGAGATAGCAAGCATTTAAAAGAACACAGAAATAGGCCCGCCGCTGCACACCCCCTACACCACCCTCACTCCAGTTGAGAGGTTTCTACTGGGA